CCCGATCCCTGTGACTGTTGACACTTTTGACACGCGAAGACGCGAGTCGAGTCCAAAAGTGACGACAGGTCTGCGTTTCGCGACCACGACCCCCCCGATCCCTGTGACTGTTGACACTTTGGTAATGCGAAACGTAAAAAGTGACGACAGTTCTGCGTTTCGCGACGATTTTCGTGTCCGACGCAAGTCCAACACAAGTCCGACACTCCGCGGACGCTTGCGGACGCTTGCGGACTCTTGCGGACGCTTGCGAACGATTGCGGACGCTTGCGAACGCTTGCGAACACAAACGCAACGACCTCGCGTCGCCTCCTGGACCCCTGGACCCCAACTTTAAAACGGGAACCCTTCTGCTACGCATTCGGGAAAACAGCACTCAGAGTCATACCTGGAATGAACCGCACACAGTGAATGTCAAAATGTAAGAAGAATGGCGCGAAATGGTGCAAGTCAGATACCCCACCCTGCACGCTGCAACTCTCAAAAACTGCATTCAATCCTGTGCCCTTTCCCAATCCCTGCACAGCTGCCCAAGCCTGAAAGGTCCCAAAAAGACAAATGTTCTAACTGGCTACGGCACACGAACCAAAGCTAATGTGGTTTCATTGTTGTTGGCAACAACTATAAAGCTTCAAAAAAAAATTAGGAGCCCACGCCATTCCCCCCGAATGCTTGTTCGTTTGAAATGCAATCCTGCATGAAACGCAAAACACACATGCACGACCAACAAACCTGGCTAGTTTAGAAAACTGCTTTTCTACAAGGCATGAATTCATTACTTCATTCAGACTTTCTGCGCTATCGCCTCCAGCCTGATATTCCTGCGTCTCACAGAATCATGGGGAAGCGTGCACCGTTGAGAAGAAACTGGCTAAGGGCAAACCCTCTGCAAAACTTGAACCCCCAGCACCGTCTTGCAACCCAACGAGACACCTGACACTAAACCCTGCCCCAAAAACTGCGAACACGAGCTATCAGAACCCTGAACCCCTAGCCTGAAAACACCGCACCCAACACGCAAGATCCAAACCTTAATCCCAAAACTTCAAGTCTGACCATACAAACATCCGGAATCTAAACAATGAACCATAAGCCCCAGATTCCCAGATCCTATCCCTGACTACCCTGATCCCAAGCCAAAAAGCGGAAGCCCGGTCACTGATACCCTAAACCCGAACACTGAAACCCCACATCCCAACACTGAAAATCCAAAAGGTTACCTCTGAGCCTGAAAGCCTCAGAATCCCACCCTAGAAACTCTGCTAACTCCAACCCCTTATGCAGGAGACACCAACTACCAAACGTGAAGCGCAAGCCCGAAACCCTCAATCCCACAACTACATGGCTGCTGGTTCCTTGGTTCTTGACTCATGGGTTCTTGGTTCTTGACTTTCTGCGCCCAGACTTTCCAACATATTCCTGAACCTGATGGCATCCCCCTCCCTTGCACTCGTAGTGTGTCATACTGTAAGACTGATTGACAGATTGAAGTACTGCAGATCATACACTTGCCGTACTTTCGGCTTCTCACACAAACCACATCTCCACACGGAAAGCAAGAGTGCAAGAGATCGATGTGGATCAAGCAGACGGCTGACTTTGATCTACACAGGTCAGGTCGGGTGTCAGAGCGAGAATGTCACCCGCAGCACTGATATCAGGAGGCAACATGAGACGTGCACATGCGGTCTGGCGTGAGATGCATGCTTGCATCCGTTGGTTCCATAGTCCATGAAAGGATCCACAAGAATCACAGGCATGAGCAACTTTTGAAAGGTTTTGTGGTCCCATCGGTGATGAAGGACCAAAAGCCCCTATGGGCCTAAGACATGCCCAAGGACACTGCGGAGAATCTCAACATACCTTCACAAGGTGAAGGAATCTACAGAAGCACATGCCATGCTTACACAGCTTGGACAATAAAAGAGCACCAAGCATGCGGCTGATGCTGGCCCCCGGACCCTGCAATACGCTACCCCCTGCTTCAGGACTTACACTAGTCACTAGTCACCTTTTAAGCTTGCTACGTTCAGGGCTTGGCACCTTTGCCTAATTTGAACTGGCTGGGACAAGGTTGGCTGGCTTTTTGCTTGTTTGGCGTGGTGAGGAAACTCAGTGTGTGAAGTGAGGCAGAATCCACGTCTCAAAAAAACATCCTGGCACGGTCTTGTTGAAAAACTTTGACGTTGAGGCAAGCTGGGGATCCACAAGTGCAGGCAGCCTGTAGTGCAAACAGCTCTTGGTTCATATGCAACATGTACCTTCATTTTTTGATCAACATGCATGTGCCAACATGCGGATGGTGCCTGAAAGTAATACCCCTTGATGGAGGCGAAAACTTTGCGCAAAGCCTGACAGCTTTCAAAGACAACACCTTGCTGGATATGATGTTGCCAATCCACCACACAGGACGGTATGAGCTGCAAGAAGCCCATCAGAAATCTCCCGATTGAATTGCAACAGCAAGCACTCCTGGGCACGAATCACGTACAGCTGGAACTCCTGATGCTTCATGCTGACCGGGCGCATACATCATGCACATATGCGGTAGGCGACACCGATCCTGGTAGAGCTGCGTTGCTTCGGTAATTGCCTCAACAGGAATGTCCTTCGCCTGCGCAAGCAAGTCTGCCATGCCAGCATTTGGAACGGTCTTCTTCCTAGCACGACTGTATTCTGCAGCACAGTTTTGCAATCTGACACAAACCAGAAACCCATGACCGAAGCACGTGGTGGAAACCCGTGTTTTCAGAGCAGAGGTCAGAACGCCAAACCTTTCCGTCTGTGCTGCCTGCATGCAATTGTTGCATTCAGGCCATGCTTGCAGTCTCCGGCTCAATGAGCAATGTAGCGATGGAAATGCTCTCTGGGCCCAAAGGTGGAAAAAGAAAAACATGCAAACACAGATGCAATGCGACAGAAAGTGAACGCGCGTACGGCGCACAGCCTCACAGAAAGTGAAAGTGTGCACAGCCTCCATCTTGTGCATCTTGTTTCGAGCTGCAATGCAAGCACTTGCCAACCGCCGCTGGAGCTACATCGTTAATGTGGTCTGTGATGTGGTGTTGGTGGATTTCAACCGTCTGCTTCATTCCGCGGGCCCGCGCATCTGGTCTGAAGTCACATGTCTTTCGCGCCTACGATGTGCACGGATAAACCGGCAACAACAAGAACTTAGGCTGCCAGGGTCTTTGTTGGCCGAGGCCTGATCAGCGGACAACGACTGGAAAAGTGCCAACATACTCACCTCAGCAAACAGCACACAACACAAGGCAACACGTGTTGTCACAATCTAAGGTGATTACTGCGTCATCCAAATCACGGATGGCATCATCGAAAGAGGGATACCTGCACCCAAATGCCAGTGACAGGCTCAGTCTGCCCTTGTTGGCCTGATCACATACAAGCACAATCTGACAGGCCTTTCCCGCACAAGATGATGCAGCGTATACTTCGGCTTCCTTTCCTCGAAGGCAAGAGCAATATGTACAAATTTTGGCGTAACCACTGAGTCAAGGAGTCAACACACGGCAGGGAGAGCGTTCAGCATTTCCCCCTCGCCTTGAAAGTGAGATGATCCCTTGTTACATCGGGTAGTGCCTCACCTGCCATATAGCTCTTGAGGTTGTATCCGTTGCGCCCTCCAGCGCACTTCCCGATCAAGGCTTGGGGTGTTCGCTGGCAGTTTCTCTGGCCAACAGCCTTGCTTGTTCTGCCGGCTGCTTCAGTTGTGTGTTTCTCATCCCAACGCTACGCAGTTCAAACAAATGTTTACAACTTCCAGTAATTGTGGGACAACTGCAGCTCCTCAAAGCGTCTTGCACTTTTGACTTCTCGCCGGCCCATCAGCCGCTTGAACCTCACATGAAGCTAGCGGCAGGGTTCTAGCCTGACATGCAACCAGCGTTTGCTGAGGCGCACGAATAGTCTGTCATGAGCCTGAGAAAGCGGCTTCTTCATGAAAGTCTTCAGCTCGAAGAACTTGTTTAACAGTGGCCTTAATCTTATCCCAAGCATTCTGAGTGAAGTCAACACCTGGAGCTGCACATTTAGGTCCAAGGGCGCTGCTCATGCCTCAAGAAAGCTATGTCTTTCTGGTGGTAGTATGTCTTGTCATTGCCATGCGCTTTCTTCTTGGGGTCGCGAGGATAGATCCCCTTGGCATGCAGCAACTCGCATCTGAATCATGTTTCCGCCACCTGTGCTTTCACCGGAATTCAAACTACATAATTGTCACCCGCTGCAGCTCATGCGTGCGTGGGAAGTATGTAGTATGCCAAACTTCATGCGCGAAAGCCTTCAGAATGCAAAGCTTTCGGAAATCCGCTAGCGGAATTTGCAGCTTCGCCAACGCCTCACAAAACAGCATGGGCAATGGGTAGGAAATCTCAACACGACACCGGCATCATTGAAGCCTTGACATGCTTGAACACGTCTCAAGAGAAGCTACTCACATCTTGTCCCACAACACAGTTAATCAGATCACGGTGCCAAGAGCAAGGAACTTCACAGCTGGCAAGTCCTGTGAATGCTGCACTCCAAAAAATCCAGCCTGTGCTCTCGTCACATACGCAGCGGCTTCGCCCTTTTTGCCTTTCTTCTGTCCGTGAATCTTGTCGCCCTTTTTTATACCACCTTAGCTGGACGAAAGCAAGATACCACCTACCTGGCTGAAATCTGGAAAGCTACCCATGGTTGCATGACGTCTTGTCCACCAAGAAAGGAAAGGGCCTTTTGGATTTCGCTTGACTTTTGTCTTCCTCTTCGCCATTTGTGCCTGCAGCATACGGCAACCTCACTCAACGCAACCAAAATTTTACCTGCTCTTGACAAATTGCAAGGTGCGTCTGGAACACGTCTAGAAACCCACGCAAAAGCTTCGTTGGATGGTTCTCTAGCATCTTGATCCTGATCCTACCCAAGTCACAATGACTGGACGCTGGACTGGTACAATCGCGTGCAACACAAGCTCAACGTTACATATCTCACCTACGCATGCGCAATGTTCCGACGTAGACTTTGCCAGCCTGCAACCCGCCACAGAACTTAGCAGCAGGAATTCCACATGCACATAAGCTCTCGTGTTTTCATGTAATATGTGCACATGCAACCGGTGAAGAAGTACGGAATTCGGTGCTCATTATTGTGAGCCTGTCTTTTAAAGGCCAAAACTACCCAAAAAAACACGAACAAGATGGTCCTTTTTGGCAAATCTGTCGGTTATTATCTTTGCAACTGTTGCTACATGTTTTGTCACGCTGCTATGCTTATTGCAAAGGGCATGCCTGCATGCACGAATACATGAATTCATAGATTCATGCATACTACACATGTTTGCGATGATCGCTGCATGCATCCTCTTATCCGACACCATAAAGCTTGAAAATCGCCAAAAACGCACAACAAACACAAAATCGGTTGCCCTGGATGCGCAGGGCACCCGACACTTTGGCACGTGTACCCATCTGCTCCAAGATTGGGTGATGAAACCAAAGGAGGTTCAACCCGAATTCTGTTCAAACGGCAGTGAACGAAACTGTAGAGAACCATATCGCACTTTACAAGGAACAGAACACACAATTAGTGAACGATTTTGTCAAAAAGATGGTTGTCTTTTGGTGTTCACAACATCCCAAGGACAAGCTGTAATGAACAAGGGCATCAAATGGACTTTGTAAACAACTCAATATTTCTAACGTTAGAAAGGACATGTTTGCAACAGCACAAGAAATGCGCACTCACTCAAACATATGATTGACAAATGCAACTGTCTGCAAACATTCGGTCTCACTTTTTGGGATACACGCGGGGGACTATCACTCTCGGGTTTGATTCGTGCAGATGCGCTGATGTGCCGGCATATACGCACGCCAAGCGCTAGCACAGCATTGGTTGCCCTGCATCACCGAACCATGTTTTTGGAAACCCGTGTTGTCCCTTTTAGATTGGAATTTCGGAAACATAATCAAAATTTGATAGTTGCCAACCGTCAATTCTTCATCAAAACAGAAATATCTAATGAGGAATATGCATCAAACGGAAATACGCGCATCCAACGCGCACGCAACAGCTCACGGCAAAGTGTAATGTAAGACTGCAACGCAAACACGCGGTCCCCACATTCTGCACTGAGCGCAAACTCATCCGAAGCTATTGTGAAAGTAAATGGAAATCCACAAGGATGCCAGCCGCATCCCCGTTGTAAGAGGTAGCACACCGCACCTCAACAATCCCCAATCGGATGATGAGGCAGCGCTACTGCCAGCAACTCTGGTTCCTCAATTTCTCGGCTTTTGGCAACTTGTTCGAAGAAGCCCGCTTGCGATTGCTCAGCTGCTTTATATTTATATCGCTGTACAGCTTTGCCCCGGCCTCAAAGATGTCTTTCAAGACCAGACCCTGATAATCTGCAAAGGAAAAGATCAATCGTGGCGCAAAGATCAAAATCCTTTGAAATCGCTGTTCGCGAGCGAATCTGCCAGTGCATTCTATAGCCTCGCTAGCCTGCGCAGCTCAAGATGCAAAGACTTAGAACGCAGGACCGCGGCCAGCTCCATTAACACGGCCACGAAAGGAAAGGATGTTGTAAGCCACCGCAATAAGAAAAGAAGTATATACCCCCGATTGTCAGTCGCAGCCGAACACGCAAATGTACCAGTAGTCCCCACACTCGGCGCAAAAAGCAGCAAGGTAGCAACAAGAGCGGCCAGGAAGTTCCAACGATGCAATAACCCGATAAGGCTAGCCTGCAGCAAAGAAATACGGCGCCTCCAAATGGGACATCGACATTTGAGATTTGCGCGATCCTCCAAGTCTGCGCACGCCCAGCCGGCAGTCACCATCTCCTTCCCTTGGCGGCCGAAGACGCATATCGGCCGGCTTAGAGGAAGTGCTGAGACACGCGCCTCAGAGGCAAAAGGTGCGTAGCAGAGACTAGTCCCAGGCCATTATACAAAGCAGCTCGGTAAAGCGTCGGATGATGGGTTCTGGAAGGCCAGCGGTAAGCACAACAGAAGACAGAACATCTGGTTCGATCATGACAAGTCAGGAGTGACTTGACAAGCGATCACCTTCTACTTCACAGGCTTGTGGCGAGGTTTCGATGACATCACGGTTCGAATGTTCAGCGCACCTTGGACTGAATTGGGGTAAACATGCATGGGAAACTGCAACAGGCTTTTGCAGGCATTCAGACAGTGTCCTCTCACGGCTGGTACTCCGCACCGCAGGTTCGTTGGTTTCGAGCTCGCGAGGAGTGGTGTCCGGCTGCTGTACTGCGCGGTCCCTCGAGGAGGATTCCAAAACCGGATGGCTAGGACCGGCTAGGACATTCGTGACCTGGACGGCGTTCAGGCGGAGCACTCACAGGTTCATTACGACCTCGTGCTGCTGGACCTACACGTGTTAATTCAACATCTGTACAAGGAGCACACCGAACAAAACCAGGCAGAGCGCGTTCAGGTACTTTACGCCCTTCAGCATTTCCCCCTATTGCAGAATAGGAACCCCATCTTGGTAGCTCGCCGCGGTTTTCGCGCCCTCACCACCAGCAACAGAACTCGTACTCGTCAGACCCGAAATCTGCATCAGCGCTGGCTGCGCTAATTATTTCAGCTGGTCCCCTCGTCCCTCATCGTCAGTTGTCGACGCAATCCTTCCACGCCTCCTTCACTCTGCGCTGGGCAACCGTAGCCACGTTGGCGACAGCCACCACTCGATCCAGCTTCCCTCCATGTGCATGAGTTCGGGTTTTTTGGCGACGCTGGCACCCGGCTTGCGGCTGGCACTGCCAAGCTGAGCTCGCCATACCAGACCGTTCCCGTGGAATATTCGCAATCCGCAGCTTTGGCATTGACCTGAAGTGTCCATAATAGCTTTCGGATTTTGCTGGCATGGCTGGCTGTAAGCCTTTGAGAGCGCGGCCTTGAAAAGGAAGCCCACAACGAAGATTTGGGAGGGAGTTGCTCAGTCTGCACGTGAGCATCCTGTACTTTTTCCACCATGTTCGACATTCTGCCACGAGTAGTCCCCGGCGATTCTCCCTGGCGCACCACAAAAGGGCAGATAACCACCTGTGAACAGCGTCCTGGCACGAACCATCCCTGGTCCATGACTTTGGAGAGCAAGACAGAAACCATGGCCTGGAAGTCAGACTCGATCAACGCTGTCTGAGTGTCTCATCGCCATCCTCCCACTATGACATCAAGGCGATCATCCCCGGAGGCAACACTGGACTGGGGGCCTGCAGGCTTACCTTCTAGCATTTGCACCCTCTGCAGCAAGTCCTGGAACTCATCCTTGACCTCTCGAAGCTTCTCGTCCTTTTTTCTGAATTTTGTTGCAGAGAACCTGTTCCGTCTGTTCAATCTTTGCAGTCGTGCTCTGCTCCAGTTGCTGCAGGGCGGCCGTCAATTGGGCGGAGGTGCTAGCCTGGATCTCCTTAGTTGGGAAGAGAACGCCCCAATGTTAGTCCACCAGCACCAGCGCTGACTGGGGCTTGGCTGTCCCTCGACCAACTCATCAGGTTCCACTTTCGCACCTGGCCCACTCAGGTCCATCGGCTCGACTGCTTGCTCATGTGTGTCCCTGGTCACGCCGAAGGTGACGTCGGCGTCCCCTCACAGGGGTGCTCAGATTCCTTGCGGGGAGTTGCAGTGGCAAAGCGGGTTTGGGTTTAGGGTTTCGAGGTTTGGGGTTCTGGGGTTTTGGATTTAGGGTTTATGGGTCTTGGATTTAGGGCGGGGGGAGTTTGGGATCAGGGGTTGTAGCGTTTTGGATTTTGGGTTTAGGGCTTACAGTTTAGAGGGTTCGCATTTAGGGTTGCGGGTTAGGGGTTTGGATTTAGGGTTTAGCGTTTGGGGGTGTTGGGTTTTGGGTTTAGGGGTTTTGGATTTAAGGTTTAGGGTTTAGGGGTTCTGGATTTACGGTTTAGGAGTTTTGGAGTTTAGGTTTAGGGATTTTGGTTTTAGGGTTTAAGGTTTTGGGTAGTTTGGTTTAGAGAGTATGACGCCGTGGCGGTGTGTATTTCCGAGGATTTTAGGATTTTTGTGTGGGTTTTTGCTTTATCGTATGCCACAGCTCACCCTTGCTATACACATACATATCCTAGCTAGGTTAGCCAAAATTACTCTTAGCACAGCTAATGTGACATAATAAAGATTAGACAAATGCAGCTAAGTATATAGAGTGAGCCCTCGCCAATGTGATTCGCACAGCTCGT